TCTTTTCTTTGGTCTCACCAAGCAGCTCAGACTTGTCCTGATCCTCCTGTCTCAGCCTCCCACTGCTGGGATTGCAGGCATGTGCCACCACAGTCAGTTTCAGTGGCCGGCTTAGCCAGGGGTCGGAGCAGCAGGTGACACCACGGATAGAACCCAGACCCTTGTGCTTGCTAGGCAGGCACTTAGACCACCAAGCTATCTCCTGGGCTCCCAAAAATAACTCCTAAATCCACTGTCTTTGAACCTAATTACTCAGTAAGGTTCCTGTTAGGGAACTACTACATTCCTAAAATGTACTTTCTTGTTATATGTTATTCTTTAGGTAATTTTCTGGAATTTTGACTGATCATTTGCTGGACTTTCTACAAATTTATGTAGACTACTTATATTGAGTTTGTGAATAGAATCATCTCTGTTTTTTCTATTCATTGTTCAATATTTCCAGACTGTAATATTGAAATATCATTATTTTAATGACAATTCAAATAATTTTGAGAATATGTTTTCTCAGAAATTATGTAAAACTCACGGCAAACTAAATTCCATGGTGGTTCTTCTATTGCTAGCACATATCTACTTTCCTAATCTCTACTGTATGAACTGATTTAATTTAGGTTTTATTGTATATTGAGCCAATTTTAAAAATTTACGTTCTCTGTTAAATAGCTCGGCCGTCTAAGCACCTGCCTGTCAATCACAAGAACCCAGGTTCGATCCCAAGTACCACATGCCATTCTGGCCCTCTGCCAAGCTGGTCACTAAAACTGGGTGTGGTGGCAAGTCTGAGCTAAGTAGCAAGACCGTGTAACAAACAAACAAACAAACAAATAAATAAATAAGATTAAATAAATCAATAAATTTCTTTTAGGCTTTCAAACATATCATCCAAAAATTTCATGTAGCAATTCTTTCATAATTCTTTGTGTTCTCCTTTTCCTGTACTTCATTTTTCTAATTTTGAATATTTTCATCAAAATTAAAAGTTTCATTTCTAATGTATATCCCTTGGATTGGTTTTGT